GGTTTTTGTGTTTTTTGGGGGGGGGGGTGTGGAGAATACGACTGTTAGCCCCCCGCCTCCCAAACATAACGATCGGGTGTTGTACTACCACTCACGCTCGGTTCTGATCGGGTGCTCGATGCATCGGTCCACGACCACACAACGAAGGTCAGAAATTTTATCTGAACCAACTGACCAGCTTTGAATGGTAACATCTTTTCCTTCAACTAGACCTTGGTCCTCACAGACGACCTGATAACTATCAAGTGAACGACTTGGATCCAGCTAAGCGCTCGGGTGAAGTAAGCGTGTCACATCAAGGACTGTTAACAATCTGCGCTAAATCTCGTAAAACTATGCCTTCTTTCTCTATTTTTACTATAGTCCTCCTCTTCTGGTCCAACATCAACCTCAAGCTACTCTCCGCCTCTGCCTGCCGTTACAACCGCTCGACTTGGTCCGCATGACGTGGCTCGGTTAGATGAAGTCCTAGAAACACTTTCGACTGCTTGTTCCAAACAATCTGTGGCCCCACACTCAGCAGTTCATCTAGATGAGGATCGCGTCGGCTCATCGTCGTGTACCGATACTTGGATTCTGGCTCATCATCATCAACAACAACAACAACAGTGTCAAGTCAGTTCAAATAACATCAACAACCAGTGTCAAGTCAGTTCAAATAAATGCAGCCAGCAAGCAGAGTCTGAAAAACTGCTCTTACTTTCTCCAGCTTATCCAAGCCCACCATGCTACCCTGGAATTCGAAGTGAAACACGTCCACCAGCTGAACGGAGTTCTTGGCACAGTGGCCAGGCGTCTTGGTGGCAAAATAACACCTCGGCGACTGGCGAAGGCAGCGCGTCCGCCGTCCAACCAAACAACATTGTACCGACTGCGTGCCATCCACCATGGTGGAATTGTCCAACTCCCAGTGGGGTTTCTGAACGTCTTCACAGTCGTGTGTCGGAAGATCAGCAGTTGGCACCTAGTAGTAATTCACGACGACCGACTAGCTCAAGCACTTCCGAGCGCATTGGTAGTTCTAGGCCGCCAGTCCGGTCAGACCATAAGGTTAGTTTTCCATTTAACCGCACGAAATTGTCTCGGTATAACCTTCACAACGCCTTTGTGACCGCCGGACTCAACCGTCGTTCTTTGTAGAGCATGCGAAGCCTTATCAGTAGAATGAAAGTGAACTGATGACTATAATCGCCGGGGTCATGTTTAGATCGTAGCATGTTGAATTTCTGATAAGTGTCATCGCAGCTTTCTCGATCCCAGTGTGGTTTTGCGTACTGAACAAGTTTGTCTTCGCACCGGCTGCTGTTTAGTCAGAGCACTCATCACTAATCACTGGTTGTTGATCTGTTCATCCGTCTTGGCAATTGACGCTTTCGAGGAGACATCGCCAGTTGACAATTGAGTGGGTCTGCGCAACCGCGCAGTGATGATTTCCTCTCGAACACTCGCGATTCAATTACCAAGCATGGTGGACAGGTCAACAGCCACCTGACCAATAAACGCATCCGAACTCCCGATATTCCAGCATATTGCCAACTCAAATCTCTGGTCCGAAGCAATATCTTCTTGAGCATAAATATTTCGCCTTCGCATCACTCTCGTTTGAGCAGACTTCCTCCTGTCCTGGCGCATTCCAGGTGCTTCTGACGTACGTTGGTGGAGTAATGGTAAGCCTTGTTTGTCAGATGTCAAACCCCGGTACGGTCATGCACTGCTGATGAGCGAAACACAAGTCCATTGATCCCACTGTTTGATGTGGACCCACCAGAATAGTTACGCTTGGACAGGAGGTCAAACCAGAGTGATGTGAACCCGACACATCTTGGTTTCCCTCTTTTTTGGTGAACAGCTGAAAGTGACGCACTTTGTAGCCGATTATTTGAACTGAGTGTAGACTGGTGAATCGATTGAATACCCAATCACAGTCAGCCCTCTTCACAGAGGATCTGACAACTGTGCAGTCGCGCGTCTGCAGTTTGACCTGGAAATCTCATCGACCCAAGGATCGTTGTTTTTGTTTAGAGTGGAGTCGGTCACGTGGCCGTCTGATTGGCACTAGATTCAAGGCCACGCCCACTGCCCTAAAACTGCTATCAGTCCCCCCTAGTTGCACCTACTCCTCCATCAAATGTGAGCAGCCTGGATGTGTTTTCGTCAACCTGGTTGTAAGTTCCATCGGTTTATCAGTTGGGCCATGTGGTGAGACTTAGTCAGGAACTTATCACCATATATGGTTTGCGCGTTTTGTTTACTTTGCTCTCTCTCACCCGGCTTGCAGCGGAGGCATGGATTCATCTGACAACTGTTTTGTTTGTGTTCACTGCTCAAGTTGTCCAACTGAACGCCATGCTACTTATAGGGTTGGCTAAATGTCGTGTGTTTAGCTCTCTAATCCACCTTACTGCTCCATAACAAGTAGAAACTTGTTTATTAAGGCAAATGAGCATGTTTATAAAGTCTGTCCACATGTGGACAGCAGAAAGCCCGGAATCTCCAGTGTAGGTCTGTCGCCATCGCAATGTCATCAAGATGGGGGAGGCTGAATTGTGCTAGAGGTGACCTGTCGGATTGTGGCACCCCCATAGATGGAGCGCAGCTGTTATCAAAATCATGTTCGTTCTCGCCTATTTGACCCCCGTTTGTTTTAGACGCGATGAATGCTAGTCAAAAGCCGACGAGAGAGCTTTATGACCACGACCGCTGTACAGCCCCCCCACCCCGCGCATCCACCCTCAAAACAACGGTCTATTCTGCTTGGCTTTTTTATATTGTGTGAACGTTTCGGGCATCACGGATGCGTCCTTTGTGGGGCGGTGCACTACATACTTGGTACGATCAGCTATCAAATGCAGGGCGACCGGAAGGCAGCCACACGTTTCTCGTGCCTGTGCATAATTCGTACGAATACGCCCAATGTCACCGCACCACCTGCCGTCATAGCTAGCTTTCTGGCGTGTTAAAAAGAACCCAGGTACCACCTTTTGCTGTGCATTATCCACAATCAGACAGGGTTGCTCTATTCATATGTAGCTGTTCTCTTGCCATCGCAGACCTGAACTGGACTTTGGAACTAACATCACATCTATCAGTCCTTTTCAAAGGACTGTATATTCGCCGAAATGAAATTAAAAAAAACACCCATTCTCTTTTGACTGCTGCTTGGATTTGACATTTTTGGACAAGATAAGCTGGGCTGTCACAGCCTTGATTTATGCAACCACAAAAGAACTAACCTCGGTTCATCCGGTTGAATTCATTATTCTCGATTGTGCGCTTCAGTCGTGATTGACCGCTCACTGTCGCGACCCAAACAACCGTAGCAGATATCGTGAGGTTGTGACGTTTTTCGGCCGCCCAGCCGTGTGGCCTTCCCAACTGAGCGGGCTGTCTCGGTGTAATTTCCGAAAACTAGGGCACTTGCGCGCAACTCGGCTTCTGATTGGTGGATTTTGCTCGCTTGCATGCATGTGCGTCATTAGGAAACCCTATGACGCGCTGCGCGGCGATTTTCGTCCAGGTGGCTCTACCCATAGCAATGGGTTTTTTCAGTCTTAGGTTTGGTGCATAGTTCCACTATCTGTCCGTTTTTGCTCGCACAGAATAATGTTGCAGCATACAGTTCCCCGTTTCACCCGCCTTTGGCGAATCACTGTTTTTGGGGAGAAAATGACGGCCCATTTGCGCAGTTGAGAGATCAGTGTTTTCCGGGTTTTACAAATTCAATTAAATAGCCTTAGTATCCAATGATTTGCCGTTTTCTCTCCTGTTTCCTCTCTTCGTTAGTCTGAACGTGCCGGTTTGTTAGTGACTTCCAATAGAAATTGTTCTGAAGATGAATGGCGACAGCGAATTTCCGAGGCAACCGGTCTGACAGATGGCTACGAAAATGTGGTGAACCGCAGAGATTCAGATCCACAAATACAAGTGGATGGGTGTACAACACAGCTCCAGCAACCGTTCCGTCCAGTGCCACTCCATCATCCTAACAGTTCAGTCTTCAACAAGTGCAACGTCGTCCCTAGATCACTATCTAACGCACCGCCCACTCTTGGTACTGCTGACGGTTCCATATGGTCATCACGTGATCTGCCACGCCCTCAGCTAACCTTGCCTACCATTAACTCCTCCTCCTCATGTGGTCAACAGACAAATCCGGGTTTGGATAACCAGTATTCTCCTGTCACACCAGCTTCCGGTGGCACTTCGCTCCCCATGGACTCCGGTGAACATCCTAACACCGCGTTTGCTTTCCCTCCTAGTGAGCAGCACATCCGATCCTTGTCAACTGGTCTCCCATCCCACTCCCGGAGCATGGCACAGCAGTCCTTGTATCCATCGGACCATTCGTTTATTGGAAACAACCTCAATAGTTCACAACTTGTGACGACGTTGGATGCTGAGTCTGTTTCGTCGGGTCTCGCCCCACAACAACTGAAAGTTAGTAATGAGGATATTTCACTGGACGCCCCCCAACCACCACCCATTTCACATGTGAATCACCAGCAGCCAGCTCTACGTCACAGTGTGTCAATTCCGCAACTGGGTCATCTGGAATTCCCCTGGCCCACCGCTTCGTTTTCGAAATCTGAGTCTGGATGTGCCGTGTCAACTCACACAAGTTTCGGTCGACATCAGCAGCTGACCGTAGGCGCTACCACTGCGGCGTTTCAACCGCACTTCAATTTGACGTGTTCTGTGATGGATTCGATCTGCTGCAATCCATCAAGTAAGTTTCCACTCACTGGTTTCGAGACAATTCGTATAACCATGTCCTGCCGACCAAATGAATTAGTCTGTAGTACTCAATAGGTTCCCGATTATTGCTCCCTAGTTGATTTGACGACCTCTGTTCACCCCTTCCGCCCGCCTTCGGGTGTAACCATGATTCGCCGTGTCATGCCCTTGGTGGTGGACCGTCGCATGATAGAATCCACTGACTAATGTCTACAAGTTTGGAAATTTCAAACCATCACTTGGTTCGTCTGGTAAATTCCATTTTGTTTCCATTGATTTCTCATGTTCAATGAACAATATATTGACCGCGAGATGGCCCAAGTGGTTAGAGCGTGGATTTACTGACCGGAATTTCCGTGGTTCGAACCCGACCTCTACCTCTCGACTTTCCCCATCTAGGCTTGGGCAACCTGGCAGTATCCCAGCTCTCGTGCTTCCTCCAGGTGGCATTGCAGCTTGGCATCAAAAGGGTGCTACAGCTGAACTTTTTTTGGTATTGACTGCCTGCCATTGATTCGTTTTGGACACCTATAATCTCCAGCTTAAAACGATGAACGATGAAAACGCGAGTTCGAAATGACCTTCAGTCTGATAGATATCTTAACGATCCGCATGACGGATATTCGTTGTACTACTTTCCTTCTTTCTTTTTTTCACCGCGGTGCCTAAATGGCTTTGTAGCAGTGAAGCGTTGAATTTGTAAACTCCATGTTTGCTTCCTTGATTTGGGGTGGCGGTGGGGGTGATAAGGCGTGTTTGGCGTGCATGGGGTCACCCCATTGTATTAGGGTTGAGTAGCGAATAACGGTTTCCCCCGCAGCTGCTCGAACCATGTCCCAACGCGTCCCTTATGACTGCTATTCCCAACCCTTGAATGCATCTAACCACCGTGACACGACAGCTGGGCGACTTTGGCGGTCAGCTCCAAGTTCGCCTCTGTATTGTTGGATTGGCCGGTCTCTTTAGGGTTGCTTTGATTACGGAAGAACACCTAACACGATCCGTGTACTGATTGATAGGCAGTTTCGCTCTCCATGATAATGCACTTCAAAGTAAAGCCATCTTCCCTCAACCCTAATCACACTTGAACCTCTGGAGAGCAACTTTATCGAGGTAGCCTAGGTATTTTACTGATTGTCACTGTTGGAAATCAAACACCGGTACTTTTTGGAACCCATGGTTTGGCTGAAACAGGAGAAACTCACGCTTGTCGTCTGCAAGCCAGTTCAAGAAGCATCTGACTTCACCTCGTCACTCAGAGTTATAAACATTTTGGATCCTTTTTTTGTCATAAATGCTGCAGTAGGGTAGACTTCCACCCAGGGTGGATCAATCCATGACTTGAAAACGAAGCTTAATTGGTCAACTGAGTCACTGCGGTCTTCCCAAATGGAGACAGTGGGACGGGCAAACCGGTGGTTAGTGACCCCGACAGATCATGCAGCTAGTTGTGGTCATCGCCGTCGATCGCCTTCACTGAACAAGCTGATCCATCTGCTGTCAATGTACAGATTGGGCGGGCCACCCCCAGTGCATAGTTCTCCTCCTGTTCCTTCTCGGTCATTGAAGTGTGGCAGCTGGAAACACACTGCACTTTGGAACACGGTTTGTGAATTGACTGACTGATGGAGAGTGGACCTCGGTCGTCCTCTGCCTCGCATCTTCATATAGGGCCAACCCTCTTTGTTATTTATATTGACTGTCCTGTGTGCCTACCACATCTTCGACCTTTCGTTGGAGGGCGGACAGTTTTGCCATTTCTTCTGTATGAAACACCAACTACTGGCTGGATAGTAACCAGAAACCGTTCTCTCCAGTGATGAAAACTGAATGATATCATATCATCGATTTTTGTAGTCGATGTTTCTCACATACTTTTTGGTTAGACCAGTGTAGTCTGAGCGTCGCACTGGAATGTGGAAATCCGGCAAATCGAAATTGTGTTTTTCAGAATCCAGACAACCTTTGCGAAGAAACCCGTGTGTGTGTAAGTGTTCAATATAATGGGTTACCCGAGCAGTTTTCAGATCTGAGGTAAACGGAGTATTAGCAACAACAGACCATTGCTAGGTGTCGCTGTGAGCCTTCTAGAATCAGTTGATCTAGGGCTTTAACAGTCTACATTTTAGAATTTCTAGTCTTTAGAAGCACGGTGCTTTGCCAAAATAGATGAGGACGTATGACATGACCAACGCAATTCGCTCAATCGATCACACCCTGGACGTCTGACTAATTCATGCATGATTCACTGTCGACGATTGCTTGATCAGGTTTTGCGTCGCTACCCTGAAGTTCTCAGGCCAACGCACGTCATCAATTACGGTGCCTAACAGAGCAGACATAAAATGTGTAAACCTAACACGTTAGGCTGTGCACTTAACGGAAGGGAGTGAATTTTGGCTCGTTATTTCTAGGACAGTCTTTGAACGGATTACATCTCACCCATTGGGCGCTATGAGTTTGGCAGTTCGATTGATCCGACGAACAGTCGTCTGTACAACCCGAACCCAGCATCGCTAGCACAGAAGTCCGACTCACACACCGGGACAGGAATTTTGTTCCGCCGTTTTTTGTGTTTGACAGGGTTTGTCGCGGCTTCGAGAATCGTTGCTCTAAATCGCGTACATGTATCACCACACGCATCGCACCAAATCCAGATACTCTTGCCATCGTGACTGTGTGTTAGGTCGAACAGCGTCTGCCGTTTACCCTTGTATTCGCCTGACTGACACCTATTCCGCACGTGAGTGATTGTCTGATTTGGTATTTCAATGTCCTTCACTCTGTCTCAAGGTAACTTATATATCACACCGCGAGCGGCTGCATTCATGGAAATCATCGAATTTTAGTCTACAGTCGCGATTGTCGATATTGTGTGCGTCCCTGTGTGTGTGTGTATGTGCATTCCAGCTGCGCTGACTGCACACCTACTTCCTTACAAGGATTCATCACCCTCTACGGACACTACACACTGGCTAAATCCCGTGAGATCTGCTTCTTCTCGGAAGTGACACCTTTTGAAAAAAGCAATATCATCCCATTACTAGTAAATATCAGTTTTACTCAAGACGTGCGTCAGAAGGTTCCTTGTGTGCAGCTGGTTACTTGGATTGCAATCGCTTGCGCTAGACTACTGCACGTTAGTGTTGCAACGCAAGTTCAAACTGAATGTCGTCAACTGAGTGTGTAGACCAGTTTTAAAAAAAAACAATTCCGGAGATCTTGTGAGCAGAACGGCTAGGTCGATTTGCTTTGAAAAAGGCCAGCACAGTTGCTTTATGCTTGTTGGAAATCACCCGTTTTGAGTACCTTTCGAATCCTCGGATGTCTCGAAACCTGGGGCTTTTGAAAGAGGATTCGTGCCTTTGAGAGACCAGTCAATGTGTTTACTACAGTTTTATTTCACGTGTTAAGAGATACTAATGCAATAAAGTATGTATTAATTTTTAAGTTGTAGTAAGAACTAGATTAAGTACTTCTCGTGCCAACTGGTCTGTTGCCTGCCGATGTCAGCATTGCCACCACCACCACCGCGAAAGAGGCCCCCTTACTTCTACTTCCCTGGAGCCGTCGGCATCTCGTATCCACTTGGGAATCTCTACAGGCGAACAAGGCTTGTAACTTCAAATAGTTGAAGTGATTCTAGTGAACTTAGAGTCTTCCTCGCCTCTTGTGTAGACGGGCGAGATGGCCCAGGTGGTTAGGGCACGAATTTACTGACCGGAAGGTCCGTGGTTCGAACCTGACCTCAGACTCTCGACTTTCCCTGACTAGGTTTGGACAACCTGCCAGTATCCCAGCCCTCGTGCAACCTTCGGGTGGCATGGCAGTTAGGCACCGAGAGAGATTGTTAATTGTTGTTGCTCTGTAGACTGATTTCGTGCACACGCGCCGTGAGCAGTTTGCTTCTCCGTTTGCCAAACCGCCTGATAATCCGATCGTCTTGCATATTCGTGACTGAAGTGTATCAATGCAATGTTGTGGCTCATCAACCCCCTCGTTACATCAATTGCCGCGAGTGGAACAAGCAAACAATCCCTTAGCTGTAATACCCCTTCGGCGCTTGGCTGTTGTGTAGCTCGAAAAAAAATCGTTCAGCTGTGGCACCCTTTCAGTGCCTGACTGCCATGCCACCCGAAGGTTGCACGAGGGGTGGGATACAGCCAGGTTGCCCAAGCCTAGACAGGGGAAGTCGAGTGGCAGAGGTCGGGTTCGAACTACGGACCTTCCGCGGTCAGTAAATTCGCGCTCCAACCACTTGGGCCATCTCGCTCCAAAGAAACGCAACTGCCGAAATACTTCCAAGTTGCCCAAGCCTTGGCAGGAACGATCGAAGTGTTGAGATTGCGTCCGGCTGGTCTGTGTTCCGAACCCAACCTCGGCATCTTAAATGCTGACAGTGTCTGAGCTCTTGTGCTTCCTTCGGATTCCACCCAACTAGGCATCGGAAGGGCGTTACGACTAAATGATTATTACTATTATTAATTAAGCCCTACTAGAATAAGAATATGATTTTTGAATACAGCTATCAATTGACTTCCGGATAATAGGGTTGTTCCCTTCCAGCTGAAGGGTCAGTATCTTCGAATCAGTCAACTGTGGACTGTGTTCTGGTTCCCCCAACCGGTCTGCCTAGATTCATGGAACGTTTCGACCAGAACCGACTAATGCCACATCTAAATCAGGGCCTGCTTCCATACACATCAATACGGAGCAAAATTTAATTGACTTCCCAACTAGTCCGACCGAGCATGTGATTTCTTCGGTGGACACAAACGGCGACGTGCTGATAGTTACGTTGGGCATGGTTAATCTTTCTCCAATCGGGTGGGGTGTGAGCGATTGTCATTATGCTTGGATCTGGAGCACCGTTAGGGAGCTCCTATCAAGATTTCCTCAGGTCTGTTTTTCTCACTCTCATTTGTTTGGTTTACGTTCTTGCATCGCCGTTTTCTTCCGTTTAGGTACTCCTCGGTTGGGTTCTCCTATGCTTTCGGTCAGTGGAGGCAATGTGAGACCTAAGCCCCATTCGGTCTCGTCCTGGGCACACCATAGACAGAGTTGCCTTGATAGTAATCGAAACTGTCACAGCCAACTACGATCGGAACAGCCGCTACTTGCAACACATGTCGCTGCGCCGTTCCGTTCACACCCAAATGCCCATTCCTACATCGGTTCTTCTGATGGTGGTGCGTTTGGACCACGGAGACCGTCTTTACAACATGAACAGCCAACGTCCCATTTTACCCCACACACAAAGACGCAAGTCCCCACGCTTCATTCTTCTCAGTCATATCCGGCTTTGGAAGAACGGCATTCACTTCCGATGGATTATACTTATCAGCCAAAGCCACATGCACATCGCAATCGAGCATGTAACTACTCTGACACAAGTGAAGATCCGGTAGGCTTCCCAGCACCTCGTTCCGGTCACCACCTGTTCCCACACAACCCTTACGATGCTCTGACGACGCAGCAGTCCATCAGTTCGATGGAACCGGAGCGCACTCGTCACATCTCTGCTCCTATGGTACAACCGTATGTGGGGTACTCTCAATCACACAATCATAGCTCACATGTCACATTGGTTTCAAGCTCCTCAAGTGTATTGCCCTTGCCGACCTTGGACGGGCATCTGCAACAGACTCCAAGAGAATCCACTATGACGAGTTTTATGTTGAGTGAACAGGACTCGATCCGAATGCGGGTTTCACCGGATTTGGCTGCAAGCGATGCGGTAGCCGATCTGCTCATGCAAAGGTGAGTCTATTATCCACTAGTTCGATGGAGACAGATTTTGGACATCTTTCGTATGTTAAGAGTAAATAACTCTCCTTCTGCAAAAGCAGAACCACACTAATTACTGAACTCTTTTCGTGGGGTTTTCACTACTCTCTTGGTCTTTTCTATCCACACCACATTTAATGCCCACGGGATACGGCTTACCACACATGTATTGTATGGCAGAACACCGTTTGAGCGAGTCTTGTGTCGAACACAGAAGATCAGGAGGAGGTCGGTCTATAGCTTGACAACGAAGCGCGCGAGCCATTACTAGTCAACTCAGTCGCGATGGTCACTACCATCTTCCCGAATGGGGACTCCGGGATAAAACAAACCTGGGGTCAGAGGCCCTGAAAAAAGATCGTTCAGCTGTAACACCCTTCTGGCGCCTAGCTGCCATGCTACCCGGAGGAAGCGCGAGGGCTCGGATACTGCCAGGTTGTCCAAGCAATAGGCAGGGGAAATCGAGAGCCGGCGAGCTGGGAGGTGAAGGCGGGCTGTTAAGTGCAGTCGGATTATGAGCGTTCCAGCTGTTGGCCGAAGCTGTGAACTGGCGAATCGAGAGACGACGTGAGCAACCGGGCTCAACTTCTGCGAACAGTTTCCAACGCCCTGGTTGTCCCCTTGTGTATGTGCCCATTAAACAGCCTTTGAAATATTCAGGCCCTCGTTCCGTGAATACTTCTCAAGAGCACTCGCTTGTCATCATCGTTTGACACCACCAGTTTGAACAACCTAGCTATTTGTCGCTCATTGGCTTACTTTGCTGTTGTCCAATCCGAGTTGCTTCACTTGCGCATGTGGTTCTAATTGACCCCAGTCGCAAGGCGAGTTTTTTTTTAAAAAAAAAAAACCTCGGTGTCTTGAAGAGTTGTGATTTTTGGCTTTCATGTCTGTCCAGGTTTGGGCACCTGACCGGCTGTTGATAAGGTGGGGCAGTACCTGAACACCCAATTGCATTTGAGGATGGCAGTTATCCGACAGGTTGCAATCACAACCAGTTTTCTCTTCCTAAGTGACTGGAAATGACCAGTCGACTAGAGCTATTTTACTTGAAAATAACTTGTGTAAACGTAACTTAGTGTCAGCATGATGGGTCACGTCTGAACTCAATCAAACTTCTGCTTAAGGAGGAGATTACCGCTCTGTGAATAATACGCGAGATGAGGCTGAAGTGGTTAGAGCGCGAATTTACTGACCGGAAGGTCCGTGGTTCGAACCCGACTTCCTCTGTCTAGGCTTGAGCAACCTGGCAGTATCCCAGCCCTCTTGCAACCTTCGGCTGGCATGGCAGTTAGGCACGGAAAGGGTGCTACAGCTGAACAATCTAAATTTACAATAATACGAATGGTTTATTCTTTCCTGACCCATGTTAAAACGCATGGGTTTACCACATATGTCTTCTTTTATGGAGGTACCGATGATAGAAATGAGAGTGGCTCGAACCAAAACTGCTCTTTCCAGAGAGGTCGTTTTTATTTTTCAGTCTATTGGGAGGTTTCAATAGGTACTGTATGTCCACAGCCGAATAAACGGTTGAACCATCGTTTTTTTTTCAAAAAAATCGCATAATAAATGAAGCTATTCGCAAAACCTGCTCCCCCATGTGGAATCCATCTCACACAAATATGGTGTTTATAAGGAAGGATGACTGCATACCGAAGGACCGAAAGGATGTACCAGGTACAATTGTTGACCGACCCCCTGGTCGCATCTGGGCGTGATAGGCCAACGTCACCCCAGAACAGCTTTCAATAATGTGAGAATCTCCACTTGCGATTTCCGCCGTTTTCGCATTACTTTGTTCATGCGGCTCACTTTAATGCCATCTGGTGTGTTTCAGTGGACAAAGTAGAGGTACTGTGTGTCAGACAGCTAATGCGAGATATGAAGTTCTTTGCTTTGATATGGGCTTAAATTTATTTATCTTTCCCCTCGCACAGAACAAGCCCCCGTCCCCTGTTCAGGTCTGTGGGGCGTGTCGTGGTGTGTGTGTGTGTGAATTTTTTCCACAGCTTCCCAGGCTAGTGTCCACTGCACACACTTTTTGTTTGGTGCGATGGGGCTTCACCTGTGCACTGTTTCCTCCATTCTCACGTTACTTTTCTCTTTGGTCATTTCCACCACAGTCATATCACAGATCCGCAGAACTTTTCCTGCACGCCAAACCAACTCAATAAATCGGACAGCACGTCTCTGCACGACCCACTTCATATTGATGCAGATTACGCGAACCAGGTAGCCAATGCGTGTTTTTCAACACCAACCCTCAACTCTATCAGTGATCCACTGAGGATTAGTGCCGACCAGGTGAGGAGCAACGCGACAACCACCACCACACCGAATTCAGTCATCCAGGAGGAAGCCGTGGGCTGTGTTCCTCTGACTGGTCCGGAGCGCTTCGAGCTGGCAGACTTGGCTATGGGGACAGGCAGCGCAGACGAATCGGACAACTCCGCTGTTACTCGCTTATCTAAATCCCTGGCGGAAGATAACTTGTTCCGGAACCCACACACCTTACCCCCTCCGAAGAAGTTCAAACGCAAGCCCGCCCCAATTTTCATCCCACCACAGGTTGGTTTTATGCCCGTACTCTAGTGTTTCCGGTTGGCTAACATCGGGGGGCATCATTCACAAAGCGTTCCTTTGCTGGCCTATCGATGATGAGTGTCGTGGGAATCATCTAGGTGTTATCACCATATGAGATTTTGCCTCATTAACCCCAGTGTCCTTATCCTTCAATTGCAATAATCCTTGCTTACAAGGATGTTTTTTCTGCCCGTACTGATCCAAACTGTTTGTCTGTTCTCTAAACAATCATCGTCCCTCTCCCCAACGCCCTCTTTTACTCACCGGCATGAAGTGCACGTAAAAATACGCAGTTTCTAACCCCTGGCATTTTCTTTCCCAATTGTGGTCGACGCACCATCTAGTTGTGGAATAAAGCACAACTGTAGCGGTGCAGAACATCTGTCCAATTGGTTTGGTACCCCTAATTTCACAATATGGTTTCCTCACAGGACAGTAACGTAGGACCCAGCCTAACGATCCGTGCTAAAGTCCTGCTATGGTTTCTCTGCGATATCGAGATGGCCGGTTGAAAGTGGACCGTAGATCATTCCTGATCAGCCTTCTAACTGTTGATCTTTTGATCTTTCGAACAAAGAATTAAGACAGTTAATAGTGTGCCTGCATCTCCACTATCGTTTTTAATACTCTTTCAAATCTTGGCAACTGAATGAAACCTGATTTAGTGCTCAGTAATGCAAGGTGTACCAGTGCACGTTATCCGTAAACCGTCCAAAAGTTGATTGGCTGTTTTGGGATCAAGTGTCACGTGAATAGACAATCGCTTCAGCTTTCACACCTCGTTCAGTATCATCAGTCTCTTGTTATTTGAGTGCATACTGTTTTAATTGCAGACCAGTGCGAATCTGTCCCGATTGCGATCGCCGCGTGTGTGGACCTCGGAGTGTTCGTCCATGGGTTCTAGTCCGCCGCCGTATACACCACCTCCAATGCTCAGTCCGAACCGGCGTGGATCCGGTCTATTCTCTTCGCTTACGCGATGGTCATCTATAACAAGCCCTCTTTCGCTGAATCGCCGCAATTCAAGTTACTACCCCACTTCAGCTACAGCTGACTACTTCCGACGACGGTCTCTGATGATCCCCTCATTCGCCCATGGTGGAACACCCACAGGCGAATCGGAAGGTGCACTCAAGCGCAGCTATCTCAGTAGTATCACAGGTTCTAGTTCGTCGCAGACCATCACCTGTTCGGCCGAACCTAAGAACAATACCGAGGGTCGTCGAACCTTTGCTTTCCCTCGGCGAAGGCGTCAGTTGACTCCGAAATCGGCCCCAATGGTACTGCTAGACACGTCGTACAGTGAGAAGCTTGATTTGGTAAGTTATTGGTTGCTCTTCCCACAAACGTATTCAAATAGCTACGGAGGTGGCCAACTACAAGAGGTCCTCTCTTTTGGGGTGAGATGGCCCAAGTGGTTAGAGCGCGAATTTACCTACCGGAAGGTCCACGGTTCCTAGCCTGACCTCTGCCTCTCGGCTTTCCCTGGCTAGACTTGAACAACCTGGCTGTATCCCAACCTTCGTGTGACATGGTAGTTAGGCACCAAAAGGGTGCTACAGCTGAATAGAGAACACTGAAGCAAAAGGCGGTCACAGTTGGTGGTTGCTCTTGTGGAACGTGCAAGTAAATATTACTCCACCCCATACATCTGTGCTAATTACGTAAACTACTGAGTCCAGTGAGGTGAGCTTTCGGGCGATTGCGTATTTGAGGCGATAGGTCTGTCAGTCAGCTGGTGATACTGTCGTTCCGGAATTCTTCACTTATAGCTTTGACTATCGGGACGGGTATGCTGCGTAATTCAGGTTCGTAAGTTCCGTTGGCTGCGTGACTGTGCCTTACCCCTCATGGTATCCCCCTCTTGAGATACCTTATCTCGGTTCCTCATGCGAATGGCTAATAACAACGCGATTGAATTTGATGATTTCAGTCTCCATGGTTCCATATCCGATCACTGCCCGACCTTCATTAGCATCTTTCCACTCAACTTCCGGCTGTGAGAAAAGGACTGTTCGGCCACTTGCATTGGAACCTCATGACCAAGGTAGCACCGTTAGTCCTTTTATCCCAAAACCATTCGATCTGCTTAATCATTGCTGATCTGAAAGTTCCATGAGTTTTGGGCGGTTCTACTGGGATATCGGTGGGCTGGCGTCTTCTGCTCGCATTGGTCAGCTTTCCAACCGGTTTAACAGCGTCGTTTGTAATGGTGATTAAGAGATCAAAACCAAGACCGATAGTGTGTCGACGCCACAGATATCGGTTGGCGAAGCCGACCTCAATGTCCCTATTTGGAGATCGATTTCATCTTCTGGGACTTTGCGACTGGTCGGGTAAACAGATTTGGTAACCACGTCAATTGTCTTGTCTGCAAGCTCTTTAGGTTCCAGCCTGGTCCCATCCAGTTTCGCAGTTGCATTTTACACCGTGTTGGTGTGAAATGCATCCCAAACCATACCATATAAACTTAACGAGCTGTGCCCAAGTGCCATACAATACGGATGAAACATGAGGGCTGGTATACCTGCCAGGTTGCCAAACCAAGAGCATTCAAGATGCCGAAGTTGGGTTCGAACTACGGACCTTCCGGTCGGCTAATTCGCCAATTCGCCACTAGTCATCTCGAACTCAAACCGTGCGGATGAATTGTTCGCATCACTTGATATTGTTTGTCCCTCCAGGGGGTTAGGTCCAGGTCGAGTCGCACAATTGTCGCGCTCAATGTCTACATCGTTGCTGGGAAAATCTTGACCCCGAGGAGTAAAAAAAAACAAGTGCCGCCACTGAATGTGGTGAACTCAGGCGACAGCCTCCCGTGGAACTTAACTCGTCCACGAAAGTTAGCATACCGAATTTTCCCAGAACAACTTTATCTGATACACACTGCCGTAGCACTTGACGATCAACTCTTCAAGTCACGGAAGATTGTTACTTTGGTGTCCTTTGAAAGTGGCGACGCTGTTCTCACACGTCTCAAGCGGCAGTTTGTGTGATTATCGTGGATGAGTTCCTAGCGAGTTTCAGGTGATCTGTTTAGGACAGGCCCAGTGGGTATCTTGGATGCGAACACCACCAGGCTGTTGTACAGATGTTTTTTTGCATACTATCCGCTTACCCTTCTTGGAGGTTCGTGTAACAATGGAAGCACTCTTCTTTGCAGAGTGCCCTTAGTACTGGCTTCAATCCCACTACTAAAGCGTCCTTGTAGGCCGCATGAACCGAACGCTGTGAAGCTCCTAGATATTGCAGTTTTGCTTTGTATTCCTTCTTTTGTCGGGGGGATGCCCATGGTTCAATCTTCCTCATCATCCAATAAAAGGGACCATGTTGCACAATCTGTCTGGGCGATATCTCTGAGCTGAACCGATTTCCTTTGACCCAAATTAGGATTTATGGGATACGGTGGTCTCCACCTCCGGCATTCCCTAGACCATCCAGTAATCGGCACTTGGGTGATATGTGCGAGCTACCACGACTATGGTTCTCCGATATTGCTCTCCCAGTGTCCGAAGGAAAACTAACACCCAAATGGTCGGATTGGAGTGGTCTAACAGATGAGGCAACGCGTTTCCCAGCATTTCCGTCTTCAGGTTGTTCGTCTGATGAGATATAGCACAGCTCAAGGTCAATCAAGTCAAGCTTTGAATGCTCGTCAAAAAACATACTACATAAATTATCAGTGTAAAAAAGGGACGTTTCACGAGGACGGTGGGCTAGATTCCACCACTTGGTTGCTCAGTGATGACAGCGGTAGCGGACACCCCAGCCGCCACCATTTACATTTTTTTGCGAACCAACCTTCCGCCAACCGACATCAACATTACCGAAGCCGTTTAAAAATTTGCCAACTCATCTCAGCTACGTGTGTGCATTCTTGATGGACTAGTGCTGCAATTCGAAGCCATGTTTTGCTTCGAATACCTATTTGGCTAGCATTCGCAGACGGCGTCTGTTTTGTTTTCAGGCATATTTCTATTGGGGAAATCAATCATATCACTCAATTCTGAAGACGTTCGTCTGTTTAGCCCTGATAGTGTTCGGCATTCGCTGGAGGACTAGTGGTAACACTCTCCCGTCGGATGTTATACGCTTTCAGTTCAACTCCCATCACGATATATATTTTCTTGTTTTTCTTTTTGTGCTTCCTACTTAAAGTGTGACTTTGGGTTCAGTTCCCGGTCGGCACTTCTCCAATTGAACTTAAATCTTCTCTGTTATAAAACAAATCGTCCAGCTGTAACACCCTTTTGGTGCCTAGATGACATGCCCCTGGAAGGAAGCACGAGGGCTGGGATATTGCCAGGTTGCCCAAGTCTAGACAGGGGAAGTCGAGGGGCAGAGGTCGGGTTCGAACCACGGACCTTCCGGTCAGCTAATTCGCCACTGAGTCATCTCGAACTCAAACCGTGCGGATGAATTGTTCGCATCACTTGACATTGCTTGTCCCTCCAGGGGGACTACCACTGAGTCATCCCACCCAAAAAAATTTTCTCTAAAGAGATATTTATTCTGAAGCGGTCCTCGATGCATATATTAATGGATTGCACCTGCCATGAGGAAAACGCCCTGGGCCGGCATATGGTCTGTTCGACTTACGGCAACCACTATAATGTCTTGGAAAGGACAATCATGTTCCGACAGCGCTAAACAACCTCGGGAACAAAGTTAGTCGTAATATGACAATTAGTCAAACGTGTGTGCTAGGTTTCGAAACGTACGTAGGACCTTCCGGTCAGCTAATTCGCCACTGAGTCATCTCGAACTCAAACCGTGCGGATGAATTGTTCGCATCACTTGACATTGCTTGTCCCTCCAGGGGGACTACCACTGAGTCATCCCACCCAAAAAAATTTTCTCTAAAGAGATATTTATTCTGAAGCGGTCCTCGATGCATATATTAATGGATTGCACCTGCCATGAGGAAAACGCCCTGGGCCGGCATATGGTCTGTTCGACTTACGGCAACCACTATAATGTCTTGGAAAGGACAATCATGTTCCGACAGCGCTAAACAACCTCGGGAACAAAGTTAGTCGTAATATGACAATTAGTCAAACGTGTGTGCTAGGTTTCGAAACGTAGGGGAACTTCGTGCGTGAGTTGTATCCTGGTCTTTGTTGTGTCGGGTGGGGGACGTCCCATGTCGCGTTGGAGTTGTATTTTCCGGAAAGGTGGGCATAGTGTGTCTGAGGCTAACAATCCCAGACTGTACTGAGGCTATCTCATTTCGAAGTCGGATTACCTGGACTTCTTTGTTAGCCAGCGGCAACAACTGATATTCCATATAAAGAAATTTGCTGTTTTTTTGTTGCATTCCACAAACCAGGACTAACTTGTTCTGCGGTTGTTTGGAAGCCTAAACCTCCTGGACGAACACCCTGCGTTTGTTTCTTAGGATGACCGACCAGCATCATCATCCAGCCGTTTCTGTAACGACTTTCTCAAGGAGTGCCCATTCAAACGCCCGGCATATCGCGTCACACCAACGCATTCCTCGAATCTACGACCGTCGTTATTTTAGGTAACCATGATGGATCGGATTGCTGGTACTAGCCAGCAGGCGATGGCAGTCAGCTAGTCACAGTTAGACTTTGGGCNCCTTTTTTGGACAGGCTGTGTTTACTTACCGGCTTTCACTGAAATAAAATATAGCGATCACTCAGTGACGGGTTCGGTTCACATTTAACCTACAATGAGATGGTCCGCAAAAAACTGTCCTACCATGAATCAATCTGTCGTCAATCAGATGATTGGTTTGGTATCGTTATGTTGCTAGATCACTGAGCCTTCTTGAATGAGGGTCCACTTTGTTCTCCTTGGAAACTCCGGTCGCAGCCATATAGAAACCTCTTAGCCAAACGGTCTGTCTAAAGTTTCTCGCTAGTCCGTGTCCTGTAAGGTACAAATTCTGGCGTGTCCCTAGAAAAGCTTTCCATCTTTGATATATTGTTCCAACGTTCAGGCCCTTTACTCCCCCTTACGTTTTCCAATCCAACTCCCTATAAAGAAAGGTTGTTAAACTTAGTGTTGGAAAGCTTTCTATTCTCAGGCAGGAAAGGCAGTCAAGTAGACACATTTGGACATCCTGTTGCATGAGACACCTGCATCCGGATGATTGACCCAACATCCTTTGTGAACTTTATCTCCAGCACAAGCCCAGCACAGAACGACATAAACTTGAGCTAGGCAGTTCGGCTTGCAAGTGACTGCCTGTCATGCCACCTCCACCCAAGTCAAGAAGAACCAGCTGACATGAAGGGATCGTGCATTAGAAGTCGACCGGTAAACCGGATGTCTGTGAGCTCAAGACTGCTAA